TATATATATATATATATATATGACAATAAATTACTATTATGACAAGAAATAAGTTAGATTTATAAGAAATTTTACAACAAGAAAATCATTATTTACTGTATGAATTTCCTGAGGAAAAATTTCATCAAAAATTCCCTTAGTAATTAGTTGACGTGGCAGTTTTTCGACGGAATTTTAGTACTATTATGACAAGAAATAAGTTAGATTTATAAGAAATTTTACAACAAGAAAATCATTATTTACTGTATGAATTTCCTGAGGAAAAATTTCATCAAAAATTCCCTTAGTAATTAGTTGACGTGGCAGTTTTTCGACGGAATTTTAGTACTATTATGACAAGAAATAAGTTAGATTTATAAGAAATTTTACAACAACAGAATCATTATTTACTGTATGAATTTTCCGAGGAAAAATTTCATCAGAAATTCCCTTAGTAATAAAACCATCATCCTTGAACCTTCGTTGTTGGACCATTGCCTTTAGACAATCACCATCAAACTAAAATCATTGAACTATTACCATGTGGCCATCACCCTCATCAAACCATCATTGCAGAACATGTTGTCAGACCACTGCCTTCGGATAACCACCACCAGACCTAAATCATCGAACCACCATTGTCAAACCACCATCTTCGGATCGATGTGGTCCAACCTTCATCCTTAGACCATCATCGCCCGACCACTTCGTCAAGCCATAGATAGAAAAACACCTCAGGAACCTATCAATTCATAGGTCAATCACTAGTTTCCTTGTCTAGTAGAAAGCAATTAAGTAGTATTATCCACTGCTGAAGCGAAATATATTGTTGTAGGGAACTGTGTTGCTCAAGTCTTAGAATTAAGGAAATCATTGAATAAAATATTACTAAAAATATATGAATAAACAACAATTATTGAAAATGACACATAGGATGGATGGTTTTGATTTATGCTAAAAACTTTAATTTTAAGATTTTAGTTGTAGGAAAATGAATTTTCAGCCATTTCATTTATTGTTA